TAACGGCGCAGCGCTGCGTGGAAACGACGCGAAAGCGGGGATTTTCCATCGGCGCGAAGGAGGCGACAGAGGCGCGCTCGTTTCGCGCTCTTCTCGTCCCCCGCGGATGGAACGGACGAAACGTCGAAACTTTTCTACGAAAATTTTACGATTATCTCGCGCAACGGACACTGTCGAGCCGAGCAATGGGCTCCATCTAGCCGTAACAACGATCTCCTTTCCTTTGCCCCGCTCGATGCAAAATTGGATCGAGCCTTTTAGGAAAGCTGGATTCCGCGCTTTGTTATCTCTCCCTCTTTCTCTCTTTCCTTCTTTTTTCGCCGCGCAAACTTTCCGTTTACGTACACGAATTGCGAACTTGGCGAATGTTGGGATTACGGTTGGGAAGAAAAGAAGATGTCGAATTGGAGGAGGAAAATCTTTTATTTCGAAACGAGCCGAGAGATATTTGGATGGGATAACGGGGAGAGCTACGAGCTTGTAAATCCTATGGATCTGTCAAGGTTGGATTTCCAACGAGACGTCAGGATCCTGGCCGCCCTCGAGGATCGTAATATAGCCAGAGTCCTGGGAGCTTGCTACCGCGAGGAGCCATACTGCGTGGTGATGGAGTACCTGGAGCACGGCGACCTCTGTCAATTCCTCAAGACGCATATCACCGCCGAGGACGCCCATTCCATGCCGATCGGTGTCAAAACGCTTAGGTGAGTGTTATCCGTGAAAACGAATTTTCCCACGCGAAACGAAGCAACGAGATATTTCACTAACTTTCGAAAGCGACCGTCGAAAGACGTTTCGTCGAAAGGGATCTCGAAGGCGCGCGAAAATTATTAATCAAAACGCGAGAATTTCGATAATTATCACGGCGAAATACGAGGATGAGGCTTCGTCATCCTCAGATTTAGTTTCATCCGGTGTGGCGAGACGTCGCGAAGTTAACACCCGATAACTTTCTACCGAGCTATCCGAGTTTGAAGCGTTTATTAATCGTGAGCGACAGTTCCTCCCCTCCTTCTTCCCCCTCCCCTCGCGTTCCATCGCCGGTTCTCCACGAACCCCCCCTCTCCTCCGATCGCCTCGTCTCTCCCATCGGCAAACCCGAAAGCTTGTGCAATCTCACGCCCCTTAACTTTGCCCTCTCGCGACTCACGCCGTTGTTCCCTCGTTTCAGTTTCAACTGTCTCATCTACATGGCGGCCCAAATCGCGTCGGGCATGCGGTACCTGGAGAATTTGAACTTCGTGCACAGGGATCTGGCTACTAGGTGAGTACGGGAGCAAGTTGGAGGGAAACGTATCCGAACGGATCTCCCCTTCCCACGAGGATAAACGCGTCTTAGCGGGGCGCAAACTATCGTCGTTTCCTCCCCTGTAAGCGCAGATGTTTTGTTTGCTCCAACGAGGAGGAGGAGGAGGAAGGGGCAGAGAATAAGAGAGAGAGAGAGGAGATGTGTAAACGTTGTTTCGACCTCTTGGCCCTCCGCTTGGAAGCGCACAAATACATATATATATATATATATATAAATGACGTCCTTTAATCAAGCTGTTTCCCTTACTCTTCGCGATTTCATTTCCCTTTAACCGCTCGTCACCGCATCTCCCGAATACCGAGAAAGCAATTTTCGAGGTTGCTCGAAAGGATTACCTTGATATTATTTCTCGCAGGATGAAGGATTTCTCTATCTTTCGGATATAAACTTCCCTTTTTCCCCTGCTTATATTCGATTTCGCGTGTTTATACTATGATTTATTTATATCTTTTTTCTTCTTCTTCTTTCGTTTAATAGTTTCGAGTTAAGTAAAAATTCGTTCTCTAGATATCCAATTGCGAATGCAATTTGTAATCGTTCCCCTCTTCGAGCGAGATTTATCTCTTTATGAAATTTTTTTTTCAATTCTTCGCGAAATTATAGATGGCGTCGTTCTTCGATTTCTAAAATTTATCGTTTACCAAATTTTCTGAACGAAAATTCATCGCGGATACAAATTATCACTATAATAAAGAAGGAAGAATTTCCTTTGGTAAGGATTGTAGTAGCTCGGTTAGAAAAATACCCGATCTCTGCCGCTTTAAGTCGAAATTAAATTATTGCTTTGCCTGGCTGTATTTCCGTATAAGCCCACCCCTCGAAAACAAACGGAGCCGCAAAACCGCATGGGAAATCAGCGATTCGTTAGCGATACGTCGGGCGGAAAATAGCATGAACGGATAGTTTATTTTCCCGTGGAATAACGATTAAACGTGTACGTTCCACTCATTATCGGTTGTACGTCAACATCGAAATTGTTTGCACGGTTTATTACAACTATAAATTAATCCGGCCCGAATGCGCTGTAAAATTTCGCTCCCAACTTTCCGCCCAGGTTGATACGGAATTATCGCGTCAACGAATCCCGCCCCTCGTCCGAGAAATTACATCCTCGACTCGGATGCAGCCTCGGATGTAAATTGTTACGCGAAGTGTGATGAACGCTTG